CTGCACCTTGGGGCCTTTCCCGCTGTCTCCTGGTGACCACTGATAGCAGAAAGAACGGTCAGGCTGGCCTGGCCGAGTCGGCTCTCCAGTCCAGCACTGGTTTACAAAGGGTCTGTGAGGGGAGGTCAGCATAGGTTCAGTTATGGGAAGAGATGCTTTCCAGTGTAGCCCAAGTTCATACCCTGGCTTGTGAGGCCAAAAATAACTGTGGTTCCCATAGCACCGTGGCACTTCTTCTTTCATAACACACCTCACTTATTTATAACCACCTCCAGCCCAGGCTCACAGGCACGTGGTGAGACTACTGGGCTTCCCTCTGCACCCACTGCCTGAGCAGAGTGCCTGGTGCATGAGCTGTTGTCAATTACCCTGGGTAATTATTGAAATAACACCTACCACCTGTACTCAGGAGTGATTCCAATTAAGACTGATATATAGAGGGGTGCCAACATGGGGGTGCATGCCTTTAATCCCAGGGACTTGGGAGGCTGAGGCAGGAGGATCTCAAGTTGGAGACTAGTTTGAGATCCTGTCTCAAAAACAAACAAAAAAGAAAGAAAGAAAAAGGAAGAGAAAAAAAGAAAAGAAAAGAAAGGGGGGTGCTAGGGATGTAGCTAACAGGTAGAGCACCACTGGGCTCAATCCCCAGTACCCCCCCCACACACACACACACAACATTCACAGGCAGCCCTCAGCAAGCTACTCCCAGCCCAAAAGGGGAAGTTGGGAGGGAGTTGTGGTGGAACATTCTAAGTTAAAAGAGCACTAAATTTGGATTCACACCTGACCTTAAATTTTAGCTTCACTTTTGTGATTGTGAGCAAGTTATTTGCTCAGCTTCTCAGAGCATCAGCGTTACCTTTCCAACGGGACAGAAATGGAAGGGAGATGGGGCAGGCTTGAGGGAGTCACTCAGTAGGGTGCCCGCCCTCCTGCCCGCCCTCCCTTAACCCTGTTCATCATGCCCAGCAGACACTGCCTGAGGGAGGCGGTGAGGGGAAGTGAGCAGAGGGGAAGTGGGCCTCCCACCAGGGTGGGGATCAGCTCCGCACCCCGCACCCCCCCAGGTGTCCTGGAGCCTGTTAGCGGTAGCTCTTCACGCTCTCCCCAGACCCCACTGTGGCTGTGTGATTGCAGTGAGGTGTGGCGCCGTCAGACTGTACACCATGCAAGGTGGGAAGAAAGGAACCAGAGCCCTGTCGGCTGGAGCTGGGGAGGAGAGGGCCTATGTGGGGCCAGAGGCTGGAGAGGCCCCGGGCCTGGCGGGCAATGGGATGCAGGGTGGGATTTCTTCTGCAGTCCAAGTAGGCAATGAAGGTGGGGCTTTAAGCGGAGAGTGACCACAAAACAGTTTCTATTTTTAAAGGTCACTCTTTCTACTGCTGCATAATAAATTGCCACAAAGTTAACATCTAAAACAACACACGTTTATTATCCCAGGAATACAAGCATGGCTTAACTGTGACTTCTGAAGAATGGGGGACATGATGGTAGGGCCACCACAGCCTAGGTACTACAGGTTCCCAAACCTGTTCTTTTTTTTTTTTTTTAATGTGCATCTAAAGTTGATTAAACTTTAGATTTCAACTTGGACAAGTCTCTTGAACCTTGGTTTTCCCATCTATAAATGGGGATAACAATACCTACTGCAGGATTACACTCAGAAGTCAATGGCACAGTGCTGTAAAGTAGCTGCTTTGCAGCCCAAGGACAGAATGAGATGGTCAGAACTCTGTAGTGTTCAGTTGAAGTCAACCAAACTCACTGGAGACTTGACTCTCGTGTATTATCAGAAGACCAACATTGAGCACTTATGAAGAACCACTTGCCAGGCACATGGGTTCGGGTCGTGTGCTCCATCCATTTTCTCCTCTAAGGGAAGGTCTACACAGGAACATTCAGTGCTGTTGACCCAGTGAGGGGGTCATTGGAAAATGCAGCTGTAATGAAGGGCTGGACTGTCACCATTGCTGTCTAAGGCACAGGTGTGGTGACCAGTGGGGGCTTGTGGTTGTTGGTGCAGGTCTTAGGCACACCCTGCTCCTCTTGTGCCCTGAAAGGCTGAGGAGGGCACGAGCAATGACTAGGCTGAGGTTTGGCTTCTCCTTCCAGTTCTCCTTTACCACTGAGTGGAACTTGACACTCTCTTAGGAACAGCTGCTAAGCTCGCTGATTTCTTACTAATGCCGTCCCAAAGTGCCTCCCTGGGGTGGGGAGGGGTGGTGCATTTGTGGGTACAGCTCTAGTTAATATGTTGTAAATGCACAATTTATTCAACAGGGTGTTTTTGCAGACGAGGAAACCGAGGCCTGCCAGGGAGTTCCTATTGCAGGATGGAGGTGGAGTTCAGACCCAGTCTCTGAGCTGTGTTTATGAGCTGCTTTTGCCTAGCAGACCCAGTTTCCTAAGGGAAATCTTTATGTATGCTTCATATCCACCAAAACAAAATTTAAAAAACAATTTTCACCCCCATGGTAATTAGAGACCTGTCTACACAGGCCCCAGTGGAGTCCCGGTACGGTAACCCCAGCCCTTTCCCGGGGGCTTTCCGGAGCAACCTCGCAGGAGCCGGAGCCCCCGCCGACTTCGCGGCCCGCCCTCCCCCACTTTCGCCGCGCGGCCTCCTTAGATCCCGTCGCTGCCCTGGGCCTCCCCGGATCTGGTCGCCGCCTGGGCTGGTTTCCCGCCCGCCCGCTCCCGTGCGCTCCGTCCTGCAGGCCGCTCTAGGATCGCTCCACCTGCGAGCGCACACGGAGCCGGAGCGCGGCGACGGGCTGCAGCGGGCCGAGGCGCAGTCCGGGAGTAGCTGTCAGGCAGCTGTCCCCGCCGCGTCTCCGCCCCCACCAGTGACGCCGCGGCCCCGCCCGCGCCCCGCCCCGCGCTCCGCCCGCCGCGCCCCCGCTCCGCCCCGCAACTTCGCCCCGGGCAGCGACGCCGGGACGGCAGCTCGGGGACAAGGCTGTCACCGCGGCCCTTCCCTTCCACCCGCGTGAGCAGCTCAGGCTGCCCGCACCGCAGCGCGCCGGCAGCCGGCATTGTGTGGGTGCAGCGGGTGACGCGCCCGGAGCCCGAGGGTCGGCCTGTCATGACAGGGAGCGTTCGTCGTTAGGTAGGCGCACGGTTTCGTTTGTTCTTTTTGCTTCCGATTTGGTGGGGAGGGGCGTCCTCGACAGGAACGAGCGTGGCCTGTTAAGAAGCCGTGTGGACACGGGCGTCCTGGGTCTCCGCCACCCCGTGGGTTCGGGCATCTGCTGCCCTCCGGGGAGAGAAGGGGAGTTGCTGAGCGAAAGGGGCACACGCACTTTTTGCAGGCAGAACAGAAGGGTGCCCTGGAGAGAGGAGGAACGGCCAAGAAGGTCAGAGGAGCCAGCGGCAGCGCCCGGGCGGGGGCATTTCTGGGGCCGGGAAACGCTAGACTGGATGTGGCTGGGAGGTGGGGAGGGGTGCTTGAGCGCCGGCCGATGGGGGTCTGGGTGGCCCCTGGTTTAGGGAACGACTTCTGGCACTCTGTGCCAATGGAGAATCCAGCTCAGGGTAGGATCGCGGTCCCCAGGGTCCTCCCTTGTCCTCAGGCTGACCAGTTGAGCTTGACTATGAACCAGCCCCTTCCTCCCCGCGTCTGAATTCCAGATCTGACAGGTGGGGTGGGTGGGATGATGAGGACCCGGGAGAGGGACTGGAAAGAAGTGGGTTGCCTGGATGTGGACCTGAGTCTGGAAGGATGGGGGAGTGGGATGCTCCTGAGGACAGGAGCATGGGCAGGCCTCTTGGCAGGAGGGGCCCAGAAGCAAGGCATCTGCAGCCCAAGACTGTCACCTCCTGTCTCCTCCCACAGGGCAGTGGCCATAGTAGGACCCTTCACTTGAAAAGGAAGTGGGTGCTGTTTGAAATTCAATAAGCTGAAGCTGGGCAGGTGTTAAGGTGGCAGAAGAGCTATGCAAAGTGACAGCTCAGGAGCAAGACAGCAAGTGGGGTGCCAAGAGAAGCTGGCTGGCTCTGTGCAGCCCGGTGGTGCCCAGTACCTGGCAGCAGAGGTGCCCGTGTGTGGTGTGAGTGACAGAAGAGAGAGTGTGAGCTTCTCGTCTGGGGAAACGTGGGGCTGGTCCTCCCTGCTCCCCACCGTCTGCCTTGTGTCGGTGCCTTGGCTGCAGGTCTAGGATTGTGACTAATCATTGCCCCCATTCCCACAGAAACTGCCTGGCCCTCTCTAGGGGACTGTGCATCACCTGTGGTCAGCTGTCCATCCCGTGATTACCTGACACAGTCATTTCTTCCTTTTAGTTTTACCTCAGGTTTGTGTGGTCTGAAGATATTGCAATCCCCTCCCCACCTGCCCCCGCCCCCCGTATTCCTATTGGCTTAATTTTCCTCTTCCTCTTGCTCTTTCAGTCTTTTTGGACCAGGCTCTGGGTCTGGCCACACATGTCTTCTAGGTCCACCACACTGTTTTACCTACTGTCACACAGGAATGTCAACCAAGGACTCCCCAGAACCAGGATCGGCACAGCTAGTCTGTGGTGGTCAATCAGGAAGCAGCCAGTAGCTGCCCTCCTCCTGTAGGGACGAATTGCAGGGATGTGTCTACCTAAGGTGACAGTCGCTACAGTATAAGGCCTGCCCTCTTCTCTCTGCCCCTCTAGCCATCCCTGAGGATCAGCCTCCTGTGCTCAGCTGCCCTTCAGTAGAGATCCTTCCAATAATGGCTTTTCCCCTGGGAGGCAATGCATTTGTCCCTCAATGTGCTGCATCTAAAAGCCTAAAAACAAGCATTGGAGAATCTGTTAATAAAAATCATCTTGCAAATGTGGTTTTCCAAAAGACTCCCAATTGGTGTTGCTTCCCTCTTCCCCTGACACGCTAATGTGAGCTTTTGCTCTGAATATTTTGTCCTCGGTATGCATATAAAGATACACAAAGCCAGAGAAGAAAACTGAAAGTGCCCACCGGGGACTCGCATGGAATTCTGATTACCCAAACACAAACTCCAGAAATGGCTCCCTTTCTTTGTTATTGACGAGGTTATTTCCAGCAGAGAAGGGACCTGTCCCATTTCAAGACTGGCCTGGAGAAGTCTAGGGGACTATGGAGGAAATACTTATGTCTACAGATCTTGGTCGCTAAACTTACATACAAATTCCATGCTTAGGTATGGAAGTTCATGGAGTGGGGCCCTGCTGATGACAGCCAGGTGCCCCACACTAAACCTGAGGTCACTGCAATGGAAACATTGTTACCATAATAAACCCCCAAAGTGCAGCTGCCATAGCAGCCACATGCCCTTTCCAATTGCAACCAAGCCACTTCTGTTACACTTAGGGTGAATTCAGGGAACTTCCCTCTGTCAAGGGACCCAAACACAGCCAGGGACAGCGGTGGACAGTGAACAGTATCACTTTCCGATTTCGTCGTAAATGGTGTGATCGCGCAGACAATAGGCTCTCGGGTTGGAGAGTTTGCCAGCCGGTGTTTTACTTTATAGGTCACTGCATTCAACGTGTTGGAAAAAATCAAAAGCTGTCTTGTTGTTATTCTGAAAAGAAGTCAGAAGTCTAAAGCCGGTTCTTGCTTTCTTGGGAGGAAGTGGTGGTGGAAGCGAAAGTCCTTTCATCTGCACAGTGGGTGCTCCTCAGGGCAAGGCAGAGCTGACTTTCCAAGGGGCTTCCTGTGCCCCGGTGGCCAAGAGCGGCTTGTGCTCATGCACAGCTCCTTTACCAGGGTGGTTTTCTTCTGCCAAGCAGAGCTCCCAGAGCTGGGGGAGATAGACAGCTTGTGTTTGTGGCCATTCAACCAGAAAAGAATACCAGCCAAACAGACAATGGGGGAGAGGACTGGGTGGGGGTGGGGAGCAGGAGGGATGGCCCCTCCGCACTTAATTGGTTCCCAAAGGCAAACCTAGGTGTGTAGCGGTGTCACAAAGCAGTTGTCATGCAGACGCCCCAAGAGGCGACTATTAGATCTGTCTGGAAAAGGAGATGATTAGGAGTATTTCCACCCAAGCAGCCCTTCCTCTGGCCCCCTTTCTGCCTACTTCCAAATCATCTTCTCACAGGCAGTCTCTGGAAGCAACACATTCGTCACTTAAGCACAGGGAAGCCTTCGTGTGTGGGTTCAATGGAACCAAGTCCCTCCCCACTTCCTGTACCTTGAACGAACCACTATGGAAGCCCGCGAGTCCTCTTCCCTCTCGGTTAAGGGGCCCGGTTTGGGTTTGGGTTCGTCACCGCACACTGATCCCACTTGGGCTGGAAATATTCCCTGAAAGTCACACATGTTCTCCTGAGTGTGGCAGGCCACCTAGGAAAGGCCATTTGACACGTGGCCCTCTGCTGCACTGCCCTCCCTCAAAGGAAACCCAGACCCTATAGACTTGGAGAAGTTGCTTTGGTTCACTTTATTGTGCATTGTTTACGTGACACCAAGGAGCACTGTGTGGGGGAGAGGAATGCTTTCACACCTTCATTACACTAATGAAACAGGAAATTAGATTTTTTTTCAACAGTGAAAGCAAATAAGGTGCAATATCTCTGTGTTGTTTTCTATAAGATCAAAATGAAGTCGCAGCCGGACCAGGGAGGGAGGTGTCTTAAACAAAGGGAGCGTTTTTCAGATTGTTTAGCATTCTAAAATATAATGAACCACTTAACAATCATTTTAAATCCTCGGGCGCATTTTGAGTCTAAGCCTGCAGTGTTATGTAATTTAAGCGAATATCACTCTTTTTTATTTTCAGTTTAAGCATGTGTGCACTGAGCAACTATTTTGGGATCTGGTCTAAGTAGATTCTCATATACAATATTAATGTGTAAGATATTGATTATGCCTTCCAGGGAGTGCAGTCTGACAGGGGAGAATAAGGGATCAATGCAGGACAATATGTTATGGGTGACCACAAGCCTGGTTTATCCCATGTGTGCTTTTTGTCACTATAACAAAATACCTGACACAGGCTGCTTAGGAAATAAAGGTTTATTTAGCTCACTGTTTTGGAGGCTGAAAGTCTAAGTGGCATTTTGCCGGCTTGGTGAGGGCCACCTCTTAACACCATCACCTCAAATAGTTGGAACTCCTGCAGAAGCTAACAAGTGATCACCTCTTGGACCAAGTACAGGGAGAGACAGGGGTCCCACAATCCCCTCAGAGACCAGGCCACCAATTGACCAAGGCCCTCTTGGCCCCGCCTCCCAGAGGGTCCACTATCTCCCAATAGTGCCACCCTGGAGACCAAACCTAGGATCCCCAGGGGCCCTGGGGAGTCGCTCACGCCACACCCCAGCCCACCATGCACCTGTTGTTGCGGCGTGATCATTCCTGGCGACTCCTTCACTCAGAAGGTTTGGGTTTAGATAAGAGGACACACCATGACCCTAGAGAAAACAGCCGAGGAAGGTCAGGGGACGCGAACGGCTGTGGGTGGACCCGTGGTGCTTTCTCTCGTGTGGAAGGGAAGGGGCCGGGGCAGACAGGAAGGCAGGAGGACAGGGAGCTCCCTGCGGTGCCGAGCCCTGTTTAGCTTGTCCTGCACCCGCAGAGCTTGCAGGCCGCCCTCCTGGGCAGTCTTCAGAGGTGGGTTGGAGCGAGATTGCAGGTGGGAAAGGTCAGGACGGGGCGGAGGCGTGCCTGGCAGGGAAGGCCCTGGGGCAGGCTGTGAGCCAGGAGAGCTGCTGGTGACGGCAGAACAGGGCCACCCCAGAACGGCCTTGTGTGGAGAAGGTCCTCCAGCTCCCTCTTGGGCTTGTCCCTTACCTCTGGGTTTGGGTGCCATGGCCCTCACCGCCAGCCCTGGAAGTGAGCTGTTCCTTCTCAAGGGACATTAGAAGAATATCGCCATTCTCCGGGCTTGTGTCCTTCTGTCCTTGTCTTCTGGGACTCTTGGAAGGGAGCGAGGGCAGGAGGGAGAAGAGAACCCTAGAAACACAAAAGCAGCACAGATCAAGAGCAGCCGTACTTCCTGCTGCCAGGAGGAGGGGTGATTGAGAATGACAGTCCCCTGGAGCGAGAGCCACCTCGGGAGGCCAGTTCCAGTGTGGCATTTCACTTCCCTGTCTCGCTGTGTGTGATGTTCTGGGAGACGTGACCTTGGCCTTGGCTGGGACCATCTATCTTCCAGTTGGTACGTCCCCACATTGAGATGCCCTGATAGTACAGAGGTCTGGGTCGGTCAGTCCTGCAAGAAGACTTCAGAATGACCACCAGTGGCAACCCCTGGGTGGGGGCCACACCATGCGTCTGGCTTACAAGGCTACGGGCAGCATTTGCTTTGGTACAGTCCCTATCCCTACCAGGTCCGGTCAGACTCAGCGTCGTCGGGTGCCGCCTCATCCTCAGCGTAGATTCTTCAGAGCAGAATCCACGCAGCAGAGAAGGGATCAGTGGAGACGGCTGCAGAATGGGTGGGTCAGGGAGGCCTAGGAAACGCTGTAGGTTGAAGGCACTAGGGTGGACTTGGAAGGCCAGGGTGGAACTGGCCAATCTACAGTCCAGAAGCTGCCTGTGATTCGAGACACTCCTGGCTCCAGAGTGAGGGGCGGCCACCATGGTAGGGAAACAGCCAGCCGGGGGCGAGCGGGGAAGGAAAAAACAAAACAGGCGCCCCATGCTGGTGGCTGGAGACAGCGATGATGGGAGAAGCAGGGGGCAGAGAAGCAATGCCCCCAGGATGCCCGTGTCTTAATCCCTGGGCCCACAAGTACACTTCCCTGTGTGATCGGAGGGCTTGGCAGGAGGGTCAGTGCAGGACTCGACAGCACCCTAGGTTCCCCCTGGGCCCAGCCTGACTCTGAGAAGCCATAGGACCAAGGAGGAGGAGCCAGGGAGGGGCACCGCTGTGGCCCTGGAGGTGGAGGAAGGGACACAGGGGAAGGAATGCGGGAGGCCTCCAGCAGCCGAAAGGTGAGGGTTCTCCTGTGGAGATTCCAGAAGGAAGCGCACCTCTGTATTGGTCAGTGAAACTCGGTTCGCCCTCCCTCCCTCCTCCAGAACTGTGAGCGGGTTGTGTTTTAAGCCGGTGCATTCGTGGGCCTTTACCGCAGCCGCCATAGAAAACGGATACGTACCTCCTCCCTCTCGTGCCACCTCTGATCTTGTGCAGCTGTGTCTGATGGGCCCCGCTTCACAGGCAGAATCCTAGCTGCAGGGGATTCTGGGAAGCAGGCTAATGACACTGAGTGCCCTTCAACGCCCCTTACAGCTGCCACGGGAAGATGAGGAGCTTGGGGAGCTCAGGGGGATAGGCCCAGCACTCTTACCTGTCCCTCTCTGAGGGATGGTGGCACGTGGCAGAGCAGAGGTGAATGCCTGAGGCGCTTAGGAGGTTCAGCAAGTGTTGTTCAGACACTGAGGCCCAAGGGGTTGTAGGAGGAAGGGGGCGTCAGAATGGTGCCCACCTCGCATGTTGGAAGCCACCGTCTGGAGATGAAGGAGAGATTATTCATGAATGTCAGTGTCAGGAAAAGACCCACTGTCTGCAGCTGGGCCCTTAGCCACAGCCCATCCCTGGAGCAGACTGTGTGTTTCACAGGTGACCTCAGCAATCGGCTACCCCACACAACCCTCCCACAAGACGACCCTCCCACTCCACCCAAGAAGGGAAGGAGGCTCATGTCCCTCCCCTTCAGAACAGTGACAGTCTTGACAGACGGAGTGTGTAATGAAGGCAGATGGCAGCAGACAACCCACCTTCTACCTGTCGTGGGAGCGGTAACTCTGGAAGCTTGAAGCTGCTTCACCATGTTAGCTCTGACTCTTCTGAGACCACCATGCTGTGAGGAAGCCCAAGCTAGCCAACCACAGGGACCTGAGAAGAGAGAGAGGAGGTGGCCCTCAGCAGCTCCAGCCCTGCTCCTCCACGTCTACCAACTGATGAAAGACCTAAGACAGAACTGTCCCAGACCTCTCCAGTGCCCTACGCACAGCTGGCCTCAGGCCTCTGCATTTGACAATGATTTGTCTCCCAGAATAAATAACTGGGTTGGTCCATACAGTCAGATGTGAAAAACATCCAGACCACAGTCTTGCATCCTCCCTGTCAAATTTCTCGCTGTGAGGCCGATAACACTGCAGTGATCACTAGCACAATAACCACACCTAAAGCCCACATTGGCCTAAGGAATACATCTGAAATTTTATATCAGAAGCAAACATATTTGGTTGATTTGTCGGGGGAGGCTTGAGGAAAGCGGAGTCGATAGCATTGAGAAGGAGCGGCTGATCCCACATTTGACTAGGCAGGAATCCAAACTCCTTTAAAAGCAGAGCCATCTCGGTTAGTAAGCCCAGGTGCTGCAGATCTTTACTTTGGGAGTGTCGTCAAGTCAGGGCCCACTGAGGAGATGGAGAGAGAGAAGGAAGAGCAGCTGGACTGGCCGCAGTGACCGCACCTGAGGCCCAGGGCACAGAGGCGGGGAGCGCCCACTCCTAAAGGCCAACGCTGCTCCCTTCTCTGTCTGCCTCTTCGGCCTGCACCTGCCGCCTGCCTGACGGCCTTGCAGCTGCTGTTCCTCAGCCTGCATCTGAGGTCGGTTGAGAGCTGTGTAACCCACTTCCCTGCAGGTGACAGGACCCCACCTCTGGGTGGGCTGTCGCAGAGCCCAGCAGCTTTCTCCTCCCTCATCCCACTTGAACCTGAGAGCAGCCCTGGGATGGGACTCAGTGTCCCTACCTCACAGTCAGGCGACGCAGTGGACAGTTACCTGGTCTGCCCAGGACCACCGCACAGCATCAGGGGCACTGGGGGCCTGGCTCCTCGCCAGCGTCTCCCACCCAGTGGGTGCCCCTTGCCACTTCCCCAGCGGCCGCGGTCCTGCTGGAGAGGCAGGGTGCTCTGCTCTGCCTCCCCCTCCTCCTATCTTAATGGGCCTCTTTGAAGCCAAAATTGCCAGGAGGCCTGAACTGTGGCCGTGCTCTTATTACCTGACCGAGGCCCTCCGAGGACCCTTGGTTTTACAAATGGAAACCCGCCCCGTGGTGACATAAGAAAGGTCAACGAGTGCCCCCTTTTCAGGCCCAAAACAGAAAAGTCTGCCCTTTGACTCTTGTCACAGTGATCTTTGGCCTAAAATAGGACATGAAGGACACGTGGTATTTCTTTTCCGAGGGTCATTTTCTTTTTTAAGAACTTCGACGTGTGCTTCTTCACATTAAGATATTTTCCAGACGTCGTTTTTAGACTTTTTGGCTCTCTGCTGCAAGACGGCTCTTTCCCCATCTTGAGGGAAGGAAATAGCCAAAGCATCAGGCGGCGAGGGTGACTGTTCTGAAGAAGCTTTCGTAAAGGTGAAGACAGTGAGCGAGGCCGAGGGGCTGCAGGAAAAACGTGTCGAGGGTCACAGATTGCCTCACTCAGGAGCTGGTCTCACGCCTCTGCAGTTCAGCGGGGGAAAGATAATCCCGGCCCAATCCCGCCCAGAGGGGTCCAGCAACAGGAAGACGGCCTTCCCTGGCATCTCCCTTTAGGTACGTCTTGGGGTCCTGATGCAGGTAGAGACCGGGCCTTCCTGGACACAGGGGAGTCTGGAGCCAGTACGATTTTTAAAGATAAATGCCATGGACACGTGTCACATGGCCTGTTGACACAGAGCCTCTGCCATGGTGAAACCTGAAGAAGGCTCCCTAGTCATGCTAATGAGAGCCAGCATTCGGGAGAATGTCTTACCTGCCAGGCACAGGTGACCACCCACGGAGTCCTCTATCATCTCCACTTTATAGATGGGAGAGCGGAAGCCTCATTGCATGAGTAGGACGCAGGGCTGAGTTTCAGCCCCAGGCTGTGTGACATCGGAGTCCAGGCTGTGCACACACAGGGCTCTGAAGGCAGAGCATCAGTTCCCACAGCAACGGCTGAAGAGGAGCAGGTCCTCCAGGCCGCGCTCTCCCTCCAACCTCACGGGGTGGTGGCTGCCGGCTCCTGGGGTCCAGCAACTCACCTGGCTGCCCGCCCACGCAAGCTGAGATTATCATGGATACCCAGACGATAGTGAGGTTCTTCTGGACCCTCGTTGTCCACGAGAAGCTTTCCCACATCCTCCAGGAGGAAAGTCCGTTATTCCAGCCAAGTCAGCAACCAGAGCGTCCACCCAGGTGCCCCGTCACTGGGAAGTGAGACGTCCCTTTCCTCTGAGTGAGCGAGGCGCCTGATAAACCATGTCGTGTCAGGGACAAGCCTCTACCTCTCTCAGAAGCAGGGACCCAAGGACCCCACAGAGGGGAGGGGCCGCAGAAGACACAAACCTGAGAGCTTCGGTTCTGTGAGGAGGACTGTGGTCTGATCCCTGCCCAGATGTAAAGCATCCCTTGATCATTTTCACCTTAATCACCAGATGCAGGAAAACACCACCCCTGTGAACTCATGCAGGTTTGATTTATGCAGAAAAGAGCTACACAGGATAATCACCTGCCGTTGAAGAAAAATGACTGGTGTCAAGTGTGGTTAGTACACGCGCGATTTACCCTCCCGTCTCCATGGAAGAGACCTGGAGCTGCGGCAGCCCATCTGCACCACGTGTGCCTCCCTGGCTTTATGGGGCACAAGTATCATTCCCTTTGATTTGCATCACAATCAGAGCTCTCAGATATGGATGGACTCGATTTAAATAAAATTCCCAAACGACAGCTGAGGCTCACTTCTCTGTACCCCTGATGAAAGACACTGGACGTGACCCTCCCTGAGATTCTGTGTCACCTACTTGAGCTGTGATGGTGTGGAACTGTCTCTTCCTCAGGAAGTAGGTACCATATCTGCCAGCCAGCTGCCGACACAAGTGCTCTTACATGGTTTGCCTTGACCCTGAAAGTGCCCACGAAGAGAGCTGGTAAGTCTGATTCTTGCCCTTTCCTGCTGGGAATATTAATTGTGGCGCACGGTGGAATCCAGAATTCCACTCTGGAGGGCAGGGTGCAATGGCTGACTGTGCCGGCCACCTGTCCACGCTGCGGTCCCTTCCCTCTTCACCCTGAATACCCCGGTCTGAACAGTTGGAGGGCATCTGCTCCCGGGCCGGAACACCCGCACTGCTGACTCAGAAACAATGGGCCCGCCCTGCCGCAGGAAGTATTTTTGGTGCAGAGAAAAATCCCATCCCTCCTAGGAATCAAGATACATTCTTCTGTGAAGGCGTGTCGTTTTTGAAAGACATCGCCTAGTTCACAGTCGGAATTCTCCACATCCCATCTGATTATCCTCAACACCCACGGTCCATGTTCCCTGGGCTTTCAAATTCCAAAGTCTTGCCACAAAGTTTGAGGAACACGCCGTGTGAATGGCATCCTTCAAAAGAGAAAAGTCTCAGAGTGACTGAGTGTCTGGAGGGGATTCGCTTAACATCTGAGGGATCTCACCAGGGGAAACCAGCTCTTGGAAATACCCCGGGAAGCCTGTCATTTTTAATACCAGCGGCATTGTGTGAGCTGGAAGAGCCAACTGCTGCTCTTTCTCTGCAGATCTGTATCACCTGTCTCTATAACAGAAGCCTCACGGGCTTACTAAGTCAGCTTTCAGGACCGCCGAGAAAGCCCCATGCTCATAAGCAGAGCCTGGGCATGTCTTTGAGCTGGTGAAGCCAACCTCCTCTGATTCCTCTCTGCTGAAGGGTGTGCTGGAGTTTCTATCTAGACCTTCTTAAACTGGCCCTGACGCTCTGTCCCCCTCTGCAACAAGGAGATAAGCAGGGCTTACTCACTGTCCTGGGCTCCTGTGTCATTAACGTGCCTGACTCCACAGCAACCTGAGTTTGGTCCTCTTACTGCCCCATTTCACAGATGACAGTGGAGGTCTGGGGAGGTTGCAGAGCCGCAGGGGAGAGAGACCACACAATAGGAACAGAGCCGAGAGGCCAGGAACCCAGCGGCTGGACTCTATGGTGTCTGTGTCTGGGGTGACAGGCACTCGTTCTGCCAGGCAGCATTGGGAATCGAGGACAGGTGACCACAATTCCAGTCCTCACACATGGCTCCTTCAATCTTTGCAACCCTTGGAAAGTTCTTTTAAGTCTTAATATTTTCATAGACATCCTTATGTTCCAAGAGAGATGGTTTTAGCCTTTTTCTCTGGTAGAGACTTGCAAAGCCTTTTTTCAGATATCTTTTGAAGTCAAACAAAAAAACATGAATGACTCAGGGCTTTTGCATATCATGTGAAAGAGAGGCAAGAAGTGCCAGTGATGGCTGCATCCTGTGTGTATGCACAAAAATTCAACCTGAGAAACATAAACAAAATGTACCCGTGCTCAGGTCCCTCTCCAGATCAGCTAAGCAAGCATCTCTGGGCTCAGAAAACAACTTTTTAAAAAAGCTTCCAGGTAATTTTAACATGCAGTGGGTTTGAGGACCCCTCAATTAGATAGTACGTCTCATCAGACTCTTTCTTGGGTTCTTGATAGGTTCATCCAGAAGCAGATGCGGGATTCAAGTTGAATGTTTATTTCAGTGTAGCAGCTGTATTCAAATAAACCCCATAATCCAGTTCCTGGGGTGCACAGGACTTTGTGGATTTAACCACAACAGAATGTGGTGCAGGACGTTGCTCCCCAAGCAGCAGAGACTGCCCATCTAGCCCTGCTGGACACGTCATGATAATTACACTGTCTGTCAACACTTCACCAGCACATCACGGTGGGGACGGTTGGAGGGCACGGAGGTGACGGCTCTGGCAGCCAGCTGACCTCGTGAGCACTGGGTTTACACAGACTGAGTTGTCTGTGGAGCCTCAAGGCATTCTGGGTACTAAGACTCTCTACTCCAGGTGGATGGAGAGTCTCACCAAGACCTGGGGAGCTCTGCTTCCTCAGCTAAGGGGCAGTGACTGTGGAGAGGAACAAGCCCTCAGCTGGGAAATAGAGATCCTGGTTCTGGATCAGTGCTGCCCCCATGTCATTGGAACGGTGGCCAAAAGGCCAGTGTCCTTACCTGTAAGACAGGACTAATGACGACTCAGCCACCTAGTGCACAAGGTCACTTTCAGGATGCACACACAGCCCATGTCAAAGCATTTGAAAAAGTGCCACTTGTAAGCACGCACTGTTAGGAGTGGCCTCTGGCAGAAGGCATTGAGTCCCCTAAATCTAGTGGAGATGCATATGGCGGGGAGCCACCAAAAGGCAAGCCTTTCTTTTTGCTGATTTTGCTCTCTAGTGAGTCACCTGCTCCTAGTATTCGCTGGGGCTAAATTCTCAGCGAACCCCATGTTGTAGAAAGGCCCCTCTCTGTTGGCCTGCACACCCCACTTCCCTACACAGAGATTCTTGCTTTGTTCTGTTTTCTCCAGGCTCCTGAGGCTGGCTGAGTGCTCCCCATGTGTTCAGAGTATGCCTGTTTCTTCAGGCCCTGACAGTCTGAGGCCTCTGTGTCCCCTAAGTCCCAGAATACTCCCACAAGCTTCTCCCAGAAGATTCAGGCAAAATCGGAGGCTTCCTCCCAACATAATTCCCTGCCCCCGTCAGCCCGTCCATGTCCAAAGGAGATGGTCCCTGGCGAGGGACCCGTGTTGACACAGATGCTGGCCTGAGCAGAGGGGAGAATGGCTGGTTCTGGAACTCCTCACAGCTGGCTCACGTGGCCACCAGTGTGGCTTCTTGCAGCTGGACAGATAGACCCATCCAGCTAACAGGCCAGATCACGTCTGCTTCTCCTTGGAGAGAACACAGACAAAGCTCCCTTCTCTGACCATCTTTTACCTGCACCAGTGCTCAGGAGGACAGGGCCTCCTTTTGGATGGCCTCCGTCCTGCATTCCGTCCTGCTCTGGCTCACTGTGTCCTGCTGTGCTCCTGAAGACTAAGGCTGTCCCTGGGACGCCACTGGCCTGCTCTACGCTGTGTGACAGTCTGATTCCCAGGGCACTGGGGATTGCCTGTGTGCCCGGGCACTGGACCAGTCGGTCCATACATTATCGCAACATCAAACAGGTACCAAGGAGGGTGGACTGGACAGCCAGTCCCCGGGGAGCCGCCGTCTAGCGGCAACACTTGTCAAGCGCTCCCTTAATGGCCTCTCCCTTGGTTATTGGGGCCCTGAAGCAAGCGAAAGCCAGTCCGAGCTCCTGCCGTCTCCCGGCTGTGCTCTTCAAGGGCGCAGAGGTTTTCTTCCACAACCCCAACACCACTGCAGGCCTAGCCCAAGAGTCAGGCTTCCTTCCTGTCACCTAATGTCTCATCCATATCAAAATCCCCAGCAGCTCAAATGTGACTTTGCAGTTGGTTTGTCGTGGTCAAAACAGGGTCCCCGTGCTGCCTCTGGCCGGCCTTCTCCTGTCCTTCCCAGGCCCACGTGAGGTGTTTGTTGGCTCAGGAGTCCCAGCCCAGGTTCCCCAAGGGATCGGCTCCTCTGCTCTTTATAGCTTCACCCAAGAACGTGAGTGAAAACCACTTTCTCCGCAGTGAACCAGGCGGGGGGTTAAAGAGAAGGCCAGGCGTTGTGCAGTGACATGCACCCGGAAATCAGAAAGGGTCCTTCAAACAATTCTGGTGTGGTCTGGAGGATGGAGTGTGTCTGTGAGGCCACAGGGAAGGGTGGAGTACAGGACAGTACTCCCCGGCAGCAAGATAGTCTAGGAATAAGCCGGTCCCCGCAGGAGTCCTAGGAAAAGTCCCTCAAACCCTCAATTTCCTGCTCGATAGAAATGGATGTGATGCCCATCCAGGCAGATGGGCTAAGGACAATGAACAGGCAGAGGATTGTGGGCGTGGAGACTGGCAGCTGACCACAAGCCTTCGAAAGAGGGGTGTGATCAGAGGAGCCATGTGGGCACCTTGGGGGGCACAGTGTGACCTGCCTTGGGGCTGGGAATGCAAGCACCAGGCTTTCCACGGTGTAAAATCAGTCTTTAATGTATTCTTTTGTCCCTGGTGCTGGGAGTCTGCCATGCCTTGATGAACCCAGAGTTGGGTGCGCGAACATTCACTCTCTTGAGGCTGCGTTGTGCTTGCAGCTAAGGATTAGAAGGGCTTTTTGGCCTGGTTACTGTTTTGCAAAGCAGGGGATAGCAAGAAACTATTAAAAACCTTTGGTATACAATGTTAGAAGAACGTAACTCTGCTTTGTTGATAATCTAGATGCTTGCACATAGCTATACCTAACTGCTTTGCATTCTGCTGGTAAATTATTTGGTTTTGGCATCCAAAAATAACTGAGCAGATGTTATGCGTGTGGCCCCTCTTGGTATGCAGCAGCAAGGACCAGTAATGAAGCCACTGTCCCTGTTATAGCCCTTTAATTTTCTAAAATTACCAGGCAGAGAACATGTGTGCAGGCCCCTGGAAGCCACTCGACTCTGAAACTGCCGGCGTGTGACGGCACATGCATACATAGTGCCACCCCACACTTCTGCTAGAATAGCTTTCACCAGGTTGTCCCCAGTTAATCATCTGTTATAGTTTTCTTCCCCTCCTCCCTCCTTTTTTTTTTTTTTGGTCAACCTTATTCATTAATAATTTACATGATTGCAAACAAAACACACAGATGTAAGTAGATCAAGATAAAACTATCATATTTCTTTCAAGACAGAGAATTAAATATGACAGATAAATTTTTCTCCCCATTCAATCATAGTGACTGAAAAGGGCTAATGTCCAACTAGCGTACTAGTTAGTAGAAACACCTTCCTATTTGTATAACACCAAAAGAAATTTCAACATGAAACTTCACAAACATCTCTGTTTTTTTCAGCATAGCGCCCGCATAGCTGGTTACCGACTCCATCTCAGGTTCACACTAACTACAATAGCTTTTTACCGATTGTTCCTTTTCATAATCATTGTGTGTTTTGAGAAGTTTTTCTTTCTTAGAAGTTGCATTTACATAGTGAATCATTCCAATAGCTTGCAATGAGTGCCTGAAATCAATCAGAGCGCACCATCATTTACTGGCTCCTAAAAGCTGCGTGACGTAGGCTATAATCAAGAAAATGAAACACAGAAGGCCATGAAAGAACTTCATTTTTACCAATGCAGCCAGAGAATAGAGACTGGGAATAATAATAAGTATCTTCCCACATGCGTTCTTAAAGCTTCCCTCCCCTGGGTGAACCCTCACCTTCTTGAGGGGAGGGAAAAGCCACCAAGTTCAAGAGCTCTAGGCCCAAAGCCAAGAAAGGGGCGGGGGTGTCTCGGTCGGCCTCTCCCGGTGGCCACCAGGGTCACGAGACCCCTCGGCAGCCCCAGACACCCTGGTATATTACCTTCAAGTCTATAATAAGGTGCTAAGTGCTCAACATTTGAAGTGCTGCTTTTCAACAGTGTTGTCATAACAACGGGAATGAAAAGATGAGTGTAACCCAAGTTGGAAAGGCCTGCCTCCCTTCAAATCCCTCGCCATACCTTGGTGCTGCTCAAAGGAGGGCCAGGAGCGCGGGCACTGCCACAGTCGAATCAGTGTGTAGCTGCAGGCGCCCTGACGGGATTGCCCGCCAACCTTCCATCCGTCAGTTTACTCGCTAAGATGGACAGAGAAGTTGGTCAGCCCGTTGAAAGATCTATGAGTCTGCCCATGTAGGCCATGTCTGGAAAGCTCTTTCTAGATCACTTCCTGTGGCTTGAAATCAGCATGCCTCTCCACTGACAAGGCTTGGTTCTGATCCCTACCGCCCTAGCCCCCATTCTCAACTGCCATTAGTCACCCACGTGGGCAGAGGAGCCGCCATGGGCCCACGGCCACACCTCCCAGCAAGTGTCGGGGACGTTCTCCCAGAACCTAGTGGCTCCTCTGTTTAAGGCTTCCAAAAGTGCAGCTCAGGTCTGGTGCAAACGATTTTTTTTTAAAAGCAAAGTAATCAAGATGGTCCGTTTAGTAAAGTCAAAGAGCAATAGAAGAAGAAAGTTCGGTATCCGCTTGGTGCTGTTATAAAGAAGCCACTGTCCCAACAGGCTGAGAGCGAGCTGCCATGCTCGGGCACAGACACGCTGCGTGCAAGCAAACCTGCGTTGCTGATTTCCCCCTGCCTATCAGTGTTGTTTTGAGTCTGATGAGCAAAAAAACGAGGGTTTGTGGTGGGTGTATTTTTCCCTCGGCAGGATCAGCCAAGCTGTCTCTGAAGACCGTGTTCCCAAGAGACGTTCCTTTTTGATATCCATGGGTTTTGCTGGTTTAGGAAAAAATAGGTAAATTCTCTGACTGTGGCAGACGGCCCCAGCCTTCATGCTGGTGCACTGTGCCCTCCTCCTGGCCCACTCTGACGGGCAGTGGGCACCACACGGAGGTCTACCCGGTTCTCCAGGCTTTGCATTTTAACATGAGCAATGACAACATTAGTCAAAATCAACCCAGCCCCTTGAGAGATGTCGGCGAGTTTTATGTCCTGAATCATTTCTCTTCTAATTATCCCGAGGCCAGCTGCTGCTCCCTGCATTTATTTAATCCACCAGAACGGAAGAAGAAACAGAATTTTCATTTTCCCCAGGGCTGGAACAGTGTCAATTATCTCCAAGTTCCTACAATTGACTGGCCCAATGAATAGATTCGCTATTAACATTTCCTCTTTACTCTTCCAATGACTGCATCAGGCCCTTAAAATAGCTTCCACGTACTCTGCTGTCATTTCTTTGAGAAAAGGGAGAGCAGCAATGTCGCTGCACCGCATCTCTGTGTGTTTTCTCACCTGGGACGTGTGTCGGGTCTATAATAAGCGCATCCCATTCAACTGCTAAAAGTCATACAGCTCTGAAAATGCAAGTTCCAGTTCCAGAAAAGACCATTTACTCCACACCAAAATCTTTACTCATTGCCTTATTTTATCCTCAAAATAACTGTGGTGACTTGGGAAATTATTACTCATTTTATGGAAAAGAAAAATAGAGGCTTAGAGAGGACAGGTGGCTGGAGGGGACCTGGGTCACCTGGATCCAGAGCCCGGGTTGTTTCCTCTTACCCTGTACGGAGCAGCAAAGTGTAAGAAGGGGGTAGCTTCCTGAGACACTCGGGGGGGGGAGGGTGATTATGATGCGAGAGAGCCCTGAACACGTGCTGCCCACTGGTAATCTCAAGTGCTGGAGTTCACAAAATGAGGTCTCCGCTGTGCTGCTCAGAGAGCACGTCCAGAGACAGAGCTGTTTCCTACGAAGACAGTAACCGGTCACCACGGGCTGAATTAAACAAGAATCCAGGAGCCCAGACTGACAATGAGCAAATAAGCAAATGAATGGATAAAATCCCAGGGGAAGCTCCCAGCCCAAGAAGGATGCTGGAGTACCATTTAAAGAGCACCCTTCTGCCACCATCACCATGATAATTGATTCAGACAAGAATCATGAATGGATGCTGAAACTCCTGGGTTCAAGCCTCAAAGTACCTCCTTACCAACTACTTATCAATGACAAAGGCTAAATCAATACAAGAGTAATTTACCAGAAGAGAAACCAGCCAACAGTCCCTTAACCAAGGGATCAAAGTTGACATCTCCAGGCTGGGACAACTGCCACCCTGAGCCAGGGCCCTTCACACAGGAGGATGCTGGTGTCCCTGCTGAGCAGGCCTCACCTGAATGTTATCACAAGAAAACATCAGGCAAACCTAAGTAAGGAACACGCCACAAACAGCTGGCCTGCGTTCTATTAAAATGTCAATGTCCAAGACCAAGAGTGGCCACGGAACTGCCGCTGATGAGAGACTAAAGACAGGAGGAGGGAGGAAGTCTGTAGTCCTGGATTGGCTCCTGGCATCAGGGTCGGGGAGACACTATGCAGAATATTACTGGGGTGATGGCTGGGATTTGGATAAGGTCTGTACGTTGGATAGTAGAATCATTTCATGTTACACGTCCTGATATCAGTCACTGGACTGTGCCTGTGTCAGTGAATGTCCACGTTCTTAGAATGAGATGCAAACTCATGTCCACGTTCTTCTGAGAATGTGATGCAAACTTCCTCTCAACTAGCTGGAGAGGAAGTTTGCATCACATTCTCAGATTTGTCAGTGGGGAGGGGTGCAGAACGCTGCGTGTGCAAACTCCCAGAGCACCCAGGAAACGTGGGTCTGTGGAAGGGACGACCCGAGACGTGGCAGGTGTCAACCAACAATGGGCTGGGCAAAGAGATGACGGCTTTGGGTGCATTTCTTGCAATTTTCCTGTAGGCTTTCAACTATTTCAAAGTCAAGATTTTTTTTATTGACTTTTGACTTGGGCTTCCAAAGTACCATGTTTTTGCTTCTTATCAGTCGGTGTTGTTTAGTTACCTAAAAACTGCCACCTTCAGCATGCGGCTGTGAGCCCCCTGGCTCCCCCAGGCCCTCCACTCTGCTCAGGTGGCTGGAGTTCTGTCTTCCCTGGGAGACACCCTGGCCGTTCCTCTCCACATCTCTCATTTTTGAGAGGACTTCTTGTTATTCTAAATTACTGTTAACAAATAGTTTTGTTAAGCACCTACTACTCACCAGGTCTGTGTATATTATCTTCCTGGGACCTCATAAAATCTTCTGAATAGTCTTCTTGTCCAAACGAGGGAAACAGAATTCAGAGACGTCGAACAGCATGCAGAAAACAGCCGTGAACTGCAGAGATGAACCGGGCCCAGATCTGTCCTTCCCCAGAGCCCACCTTGTTGCCACCCTGCCCTCCACGGGCCACATGGAGACAGATGCTACTAGAACTTCACCTCTGGCTATTTCTTACATCCAAAATTGTCCCTTGCCAGCATGATGTGCAGTTGTATTGCCTTCTCCAATTGGTTTATTAACGTTCTAAAGCAGAGCTCAGCCTCAGTGCTCCTGGACGGTGGCCAACACAGAGCACCCTGGCAGCCTTACACTTATAAGATGTGCTAAAGAATCACAGGTTCATGGATGGCTCTTAGAAAACACAGAAAGAGCCAGGTATGTTGGCACATGCCTGTAATCCCAGCAGCTCTGGAGGCTGAGGCAGGAGGATCTCAAGTTCAAAGCCATCCTCAGTAGCTTAGAAAGGCCCTCAGCAACTTAGCAAGGCCCTGTGTCAAAATAAAATAAATAAATAAAAAGGGCTGGGGATGTGGGTCAGTGGTTGAGCACCCCCAGGTTCAATCCCTGCTTTAAAAAAAAAAAGGAGGAAAATCATCAATATCCTTTTCCAGAGAAGCTGCAAGTCAGCTTCTCTTCTGAGATCTCAGTTGAAACCTACAATGCTCGCCCACTACATGGGGAGAGATCACCGCCTCTATCCTTCAGGTACAGAATCTGCCCGGGAGCGTGGTACTTGCCCAACAGGCCAGTTGGAAAACCTGGCCTCATTCTTCCTTGCCCTTGCTGAGGACCCAGGCTGTGTCTAGCTGTTCTGTAAATCGTCTCATCCATTCACCACACTCATCTCCGCCCATCAGCGTTGGGTTAGCAAACAGTACTGACAACTGACAAGCAAATATTGCCATTGCCTTGATGTATTTTAAAGCAGCCATACATAAAAAACAGGCAATGACTTAAACACATCTACTCTTTTTTTCAAAAGATTAGTCAAGTGTTCTGTAATAGGTACCTTGTGACCGTATAATAAGCGGACACCTATTTTTAGGACTCATCTCAAGTCATCATTTAGCAGAGCAGGCTATTTGCATCTGGCCCACATGCTTTCTGCAGACAACTGAATTATACTCCTGCTCTTGACCAAGATGTGGGGGAGCATAACCAGGTGGCATTGTCAGGGAGGAGAAAGACCCCAAGTCGGCAGCAGAAATGAGTCAGAGCCCAGTGGCCTGCCTGCCGCAGCTGAGGTGGCCTTGCTGGGACAAAGGGCCTGCTCTGGTGGATCCAGATTGCCTCAGCTTTTCCTTCCAACTCCTGATTTCCTGCACTTCCTCCTAGAGGGAGTCGTGGCTTTTCTAGAAATCCATAGTGATTAAAAAAAAATAGCCTTATGGATGTAAAACCCATAGGCCATAAATCTACTCAAGTATCCATTTAATAAAATAGCAGTTTAATAAAGTTAAGAAAGTCATACAGTTGTGCAAATGTCCCCACATGCAATCTTAGAGCACTTCGTCACCCCCCAAGAGTCCCCTCTCCCCTTGCTCTCTCCTGTCCACAGCAGGCACTTGGACTGATGGTCAGATTGGCCCTTTTACACACACACACACACACACACACACACACACACATATATACTGAGGGTTGAACCCAGGGACACTTACCACTGAGCTACAAACGCAGCCCTTTTTATTTTGCTTTGAGATAAGCTCTTGCCAAGTTGCCCAGGCTGCCAGGCGCTTGCCATCCTCCTGCCTCAGCCTCCGGGGTGGTTAGGATGGGGACCCAGCTGGAGCTGTGTACTCTCTACAGCACAGCACCCCACCCCGGCAAACCACCTATGGGCCTGGCTCGGGGTGGAACACCTTGGTCACCCTGGTAATGCTGGGTTTCTAATGGACATTCTGCTCCCATGGGAAATGCTTTGACCAAAACTGAAGGACCCTTACTAAGGTCCCTCAGATCAGATGTCGCTGACCTTCCATCATCACAAGGCCCCTTCCCAGTTCCCTGTTTAGGTTCTTAATCAGAGGAGTTGGTCAAGTCAAAAGGTAAAACAGCATAAAGGGCCCAGCTGACAGAGTGCTTGCCTCACATGCACAGGCCCCGAAACACACCTGAAGATAAAAGCAGTCGTCGCTCAGTGTTTCTTGTTTTGTTTTTAATTTCATGGCATTTGGTGTCCTATGGCTCAGTAGGTACAAATGCTCTTATTTCCCAGAGAGAAGCCCTGGTCTTATCCTTGCAGGCTTGCCCTGGGCCAAACCTGCTTTATCTTTTTTTATTTTTCTTCTTTCCTCATTCCTCCTCCTCCCCTCCCTTCCTCCCTCCTCCTGTCCCCTTTCCTCTACTGTCTACTTATTTACATTTGTGAAAGTCGGTGTCCTTGGGTGCTTCGTGTGCATGTGCTGTGGTCTCCTCCTACATGACATTGGAAAGTTAGTTCACATTCAGTCCAGCTTCCCTTATCCCATCCCTCTCCCTGCACCATCCCCTTCCTCTACTGCCCCAATCTTTTATTTTGATGGAATTCCCTCCTCCCTGTTTCTTTTCTCTCTCTCCACCCCCACCCCTTGCCCCTTATTTTAGACCAGCTTCCACATATTAGAGAAAACATTCAATCTTTGACTTTCTGGGTCTGGCTTATTTCACTTAGCACGATCTTCTCCACTTCCATCCACTTACCAGTAAATGAGATCATTTCATTCTTCTTTACGGCTGAGTAATATGCCATTGTGTATATATACTACGTTTTCTTTATCTATACATCTCTTGAGGGCACCTGGGTTGGTTCCATACCTTGGCTATTATAAATCGTGCTGCTATGTACATTGATGTGGCTGCATCACTGTAAGTATGCTGATTTTAAATCTTTTGGGTATATACTGAGAAGTGGGATAGCTGGGTCAAATGGTAGTTCCATTCCTAGTTTTTTGAGGAATATCTACACTGCTTTTTAGAGTGGTTTCACTAATTTGCATTCCCACCAGCAATGTATGAGTGTGCCTTTTCCCCCCACATCCTCACGGACATCTATTAGTATTTGTATTCTTGATAATTGCCATTACGACTGGAGAGAATTGAAATCTCAGTGTAGTTTTGATGTGCATTTTCCTAATCGCTAGAGATGTTTCATGTATTTTGG